ATTTTACACTGAATATAAACCCTTTTAACCAAATATTTCCAGTTATTTTATTATTTATACCTATTCTATTCAATTCGAAATATAATATTTAGAATATTTAAATTCATTTATTTTATTACAAAATTGTTTAAAAAAAAAATGTTTCTTAGTTGTTATGGGTAAAATTTCATACGGTAGTCAACACTGGCCCACCATCGTAAAGTTATATCTTTGTCTTTGTCTAATCCGAGCGATGGTATTGTTCTTGTCTCGCGTGTAAATGAGACATAAATATGTTTACTTTCAAATGTTTAGTGGTATCAAAGCTACGTCGTCAAAGTTCAAAAGTGGTTACACTTTTTTCGACGTGTGATAATGAGGTTTGCTTCTCTAGTGTTGTTTTAACTCAATGGTTTTGGCAATGTAGGTTTTGTAAGTGTTCTTTGACGGCATTAGCCCTTGCGCGAAGTGATATGAAGGAGTCGTAGTTCGATATATTGCCGTCTATGTGGTATTTACGCTGGTATTAAATAAAATATGTTTGTGAGACCTGTTATACCAGAGGGTTGCAAGTAGGTGCCGTCACCAGACCACTCAATGTTAGACATGTTGAAATCGCCCAGTATCACAAACGTATCATCTGGGTTTGTGTTTGGCCGGCACAGGGGCCTTACTCTTGAATTCGATTCCGATCGATCGACATTGGAATTGTGAAGTTTCATACTCTTGAATTCGACACTAGCGCCAAATTGAAATCAAATTGGGTGACGATTTGGAGAACTAACTGAAATCGAAATTACCAATCGCCACACGCAAACGGTACTCTTGAATTTTTTGACAGCTTGTTTGACAGCGATAAATTGAGTTCGTATCCTTATAACTATAATAAAAGTATTTTGAATTTGTATGTAATAGCTTTACTATAATAATATTAAACAATACTTTGTTTCAGGTTTTATGAAAAATAGCGGATCCCATCAGTATTAGGATGTATTGATGGCACTCATGTGGCCATAATTAAACCAACAATTAGGGAACATGAATAAAGATTTTTTATTTGCAAACATTCCACTCTAGAAATGTTATGATTGTAAACACTTATTTTGATGAAATTTCTATCAACTAAATAACAATTTAGAGTATAATTTAGTTCTATCTTTTTATTTATATTCACAGATATGTGATGCAGATTTAAAAATACTGTCAGTTGATGCATCCATTGGAGGAGCATCTCATGATAGTTTTGTTTGGAATCAAAGTTCTGTGAAACAACATTTAATTGATTTAAATAGTAATAATGGAGATGATTTTTTACTAGGTTGATATTGTTATGAATAAAGTCAACTATTATGCATTCTTATTTTGTAAAACTATGTAATGATTAACATTTTTAAATTCTAACAACTTGTGTTAAGATTTTAGTTTTTAAGGCAAATACTGCATTTATTCTGCTATTTTGTAATAAGATTTTATGTATTAATTTTGTAATATATGTCAATATAAATGTTTTGGCCTATAATGGTATATTTTATTTTAAGTATACAGCGACATTTCAATTTTAAAAAGTATTATAACAAATTTTCACAACACTGCTATATCAATCTTTCATAAATTGTATTTTTAAAGGTTATTGTTATTTGTTACAATTAGCCAACTTGAGCAAATTCCATAGGAATGAGTAAAACCCAAAAAAAGTATCAGTTGCTTCGTAAAGTTGTGTTTTAAGTATTAAGAGATTCTCGGTATTTGAGTTAGCCACTTTGTTTATTGCTTGGAAATAAAAAATATTCATGAAGTAAAAGTAAATAGCTATTAGGTAAATTGGGCTTAGACATGCACTCTGCATTTCCAATTACACTTATTCGCAATGAATACACAGTTAAATAAGGATAATAAAATGCCTATATAGGTATATTTACGTCATTAGTAAAATAATATCTAATAATATTAGTATACAATAATAATATAAAAACAAAATCAAGGGTCTGGCATCTTCCTAGCTATTTCTTTAAGGGCATCGCTAACTGACAGCAATGCTTCAACAATCTTTGCTTTCATAGTAGGCAACGGTATCATCACATACAGCCAATAGTGTAGGTTATTTTAAGATTAAAATAATTTGCTTGCAGAAAAATTAATTAATAACGTTGCAAATAATCAGCTGATCAATCGTTTTTGTAGTATTTATTTATTAGTCTTGTTTTTGAAACGATTGACCATTTCCAAGCTTTACTCCTGTTTTATCGTAATGTGTTGAACAACTCTAATGCGGCGGTTACGTAGCTAACTTCAAGTGTCACCGTCGTCATAGCAACGCAATCGCCGGCCGATATCAATTTCAATCCAATTTGACAATATTGTTTTCAAGAGTACCGATTATAGTGACATTGAAATTGAAATTGGATTACTATTGGATTGAAATCGGAATCGAATTCAAGAGTAAGGCCGCTGGTTGGAGGCACATATGGCAGCAATCTGTATCTGGTGCTATCAAAGAGGTTACAGCAGCTCTCAATCACCATTATGTTCAAAAACAATGGATTAGGTTTTCTCAAACCCACCAAGAAAGAGATGCTATTAAATACTGTAGAATATTGCTAAAAGTAGCCTAAAATATAGTTTATGGAAGTAATTTTTGTTGAGACACCTTAGTTTTAAGCATGTAAATGTAGTGTAGTATTCCCTAAGTGTCTATTGTATGTATTAGGCTTATAACTATAATAAAAGTATTTTGAATTTGTATGTAATAGCTTTACTATAATAATATTAAACAATACTTTGTTTCAGGTTTTATGAAAAAGACCGGATCCCATCAGTATTAGGATGTATTGATGGCTCTCATGTGGCCATAATTAAACCAACAATTAGGGAACATGAGGAAATATTTTTTATTTGCAAACATTTCCACTCTAGAAATGATTGTAAACACTTATTTTGTTGAAATTTTTATCAACTAAATAACAATTTAGAGTATAATTTAGTTCTATCTTTTTATTTATATTTATGTGATGCAGATTTAAAAATACTGTCAGTTGATGCATCTATTGGAGGAGCATCTCATGATAGTTTGTTTGGAATCAAAGTCCTGTGAAACAACATTTAATTGATGTTTTTTTACTAGGTTAATATTATTATGAACAAAGTCAACTATTATGCATTCTTATTTTGTAAAACTATGTAATGATTGACATTTTTTAATTCTAACAACTTGTGTTAAGATTTTAGTTTTTAAGGCATTTTATATGATGTTCTGTTATAATTTTATACTGCATTTTTACTGCTATTTCTAACGAGATTTTATGTATTAATTTAATATATGTCAATATAAATGTCTTGGCCTATAATGGTTTAATTTTAGTTTAAGTATACACTGACATTTCAATTTTAAAAAGTATTACTACAAATTTTCACAACACTGCTATATCAATCTTTCATAAATTGTATTTTTAGAGGTTATTGTTATTTGTTGCAATGAGCCAACTTGAGCAAATTCCATAGGAACGAGCAAAACTCAAAAAAAGTATCAGTTGCTTCGTAAAACCGAGGTTTAACTATTAAAGTTGTGTTTTAAGTGTTAAGAGATTCTCGGTATTTGAGTTAGCTACTTTGTTTATTGCTTGGAAATAAAAAATATTCATGAAGTAAAAGTAAATAGCTATTAGGTAAATTGGGCTTAGACATGCACTCTGCATTTCCAATTACACTTATTCGCAATGAATACACAGTTAAATAAGGATAATAAAATTCCTATATAGGTATATTTACGTCATTAGTAAAATAATATCTAATAATATTAGGATACAATAATAATATAAAAACAAAATCAAGGGTCTGGCATCTTCCTGGCTATTTCTTTAAGGGCATCGCTAACTGACAGCAATGTTTCAGTAATCTTTGCTTTCATAGTAGGCAAAGGTATAATCACATACAGCCAATAGTGTAGATCATTTTAAGATTAAAATAATTTGCTTGCAGAAAAATTAATTAATAACGTTGCAAATAATCAGCTGATCAATCGTTTCTGTAGTATTTATTTATTAGTCTTGTTTTTGAAACGATTGACCATTTCAAAGCTTTACTCCTGTTTTATCGTAATGTGTTGAACAACTCTAATGCGGCGGTTACGTAGCTAACTTCAAGTGTCACCGTCGTCATGGCAACGCAATCGCCGGCCGATACCAATTTCAATCCAATTTGACAATATTGTTTTCAAGAGTACCGATCATAGTGACATTGAAATTGAAATTGGAATTGGATTACTATTGGATTGAAATCGGAATCGAATTCAAGAGTAAGGCCGCAGGCTAATGCGACCCGTAAGTACCGACACAAGTAAGCGCGAGCGTGTGGTTTTAGCGCGCGATGCCGCTAGTAGCCTCGCTTAACTTGCTGTCCGACCGTTCCATTATGACTCACACAGTACATTGTACAAAAGAGTATGTTATAAGGTAATTTAAACTTGAATATGATTCTCAAACTGTAAATATGTTTTGTGGATAGATGACATATTAACAATGTTATTGCTGTTGACTTGTATTTTTCTATAGATCTTTTTCGCATTTAATAAAAAATGTTGTGGCAGTTTCCGACTTCTTTTTGCTAAGAAGTGACTTATTGGTCGTTAACATAGAAATTCGAAAAAGCATAGAAACCCAAGTGACGAAGCTATGAGTTCCTCCTTAATATAGCGACTGTTGAATGCGACTATGATTGGCTTTTCGGCATTGGGGACACGAGTAGGTATACGCGCAATATACTTGATATCTTCTTTTCTGACCGTGGTGTTACATAGGTTACCTATTTTCTGTGCGATGTAGTAGAGATTCTCATTTTTTCCTGTGGAATACCTCTAATTGATACCTCAGCATTGTTAGCTCGAGCCCACTGGTCCCTGTCCTGCAGTTCACGGTTTATTTCTTCGATATCAGCCTGAAGAGAGGGTACTTGACCCACCACCCTCTCTAACTTAAGTGACCTTAGATTCGAGAGCGTTTACCTTATCGGAGAAGCGGTTTATTATTTCAATGAGTCCAGACCTCCAATTTGTTGGATTTCACGTCAGCAACTAGTGTCGCCAAAGGAGCCAGGTCGAAAGAGATCTTGTTGAGTTGCTGCTGAACATTGTCTAGTTGGCTGGCCTGGGGTGATACTAACAGAGGAGTAGGAGATGAGCCTGACTTACATTTTGTCGCCGAGTCTTCGGTATCCAGCTTCAGAGACGCCGCAATACTGATAGTCATATTTTTATAAGTGTTATATTTTTATAACTGTATTTCCCATGCCTAGTAAGTATATAGGTAATATATTAGAATAATCTTATCTTATCTTCTATTAGCCTCGTATTATTGGTTCACTAATCTATTCCGTTTCAGCCCTAGTCAAACAATTTAATTTCTACCGTGTTGACTGAGTTCAATTTTTTTTAAAGGTTGAAGTTGACGTAGTATTGTTGGCTATTGCATTAGAAGAAAAACAAAGTCATAAAACACAGAAGAGGAAAAGAAAAATCTGGATTGATGATTTGTGATAAAAACACGCACGCGACGAAACAGCCGCATGAATCCGATAGGATACGATGACAGGCGAACGGAGCCAATCGCGCGTCATAGCATATTATTTCGGTTACGATCACGTATCGCGGAAGACGCCCGCGGTCAAGCTGCTGTGCCCGGCTTTGTAATATAGACTTTAAATACTCTGGACCTACACGTTTAGTACCGTTTAAAGATTGTAAAATCCGTTCCAATCCGATGCGAAACGATATATATATGTGGGAATGATGTTATTAATCGATTGTTTTGGTTTATTTTGTCTGTGACTTGGTAGCAACACTAAGATAGATCAAAGAGTAGGGAGAGATTTATGTCATGTAGATGACGTGTGTTGATTTGTGAAAGAAAAATACAGAATAATAGTTAAAACGGACTTTCTTTGGGTAAATATTCCTACAAAATATGGGGGCTCGTCCGGGATACCGAAGAAATATGAAGTTTTAACTATTCGTGAAGACTGAGAAGATTTCACAATTTTTCGTAAGTGAGGAAATCTTCGAGAGAAGACGCCATTGTGGTACTACAACTACTGTTTTACCGACGGAGTTACAGACGAACTTCACACCTGTCTTAATAGGGTTGTCATATGAAGAATGAGTTTCCCATAAAGTTACGAATGAATCGATTTTCATATCGATCAAAGAAGTAAGATGTAAACTGAATAAGTTATGTTATGATTTGATATTTTGAAGACTGTTACTTTATATGAAGACGTTCCTATTCTTGGACCAGAGAATATTTTAAAGACTATCTTAAAGACTGAAGATTTATTTTAAAGAAGATGCCGCCAAAGAAAGAAAAGGAAGAGACTACACCTGAACTCTCGTTCAACGACGTGGAGAAGTCTATGTCTGCTTTTAGTGGAGACAACAATTACTCAATTGAAACCTTGAACCCTCTCTTATTAATGACTTTGACGATATCGCCAAGCTGATGGAATGGGGTGAGATACAAAAACTAATCTACGCCAAGCGCTTGCTGACTGGAACTGCAAAGCTTTTTCTAAGAATACTAAGTAGTCCAAAGACATGGCTGGAACTAAAGACTGCATTAAAAGAAGAATTCGGTTCAAAATTGAATAGTGCTGCCATCCACAAAAAATTAGCTACACGTAAAATGAGAAATGATGAGACTTCTTTCTAAATATGAAAGAATTGGCGTTGCTTGGTAAAATTGAAGACGAAGCGTTGATTGAGTACATGATCGACGGGAAACGCGATGCAGAATGCAATAAAGCTATTTTGTATGGAGCTGAAAATATAAAAGATTTCCGGAAGAAGCTGGATCTGTACGCTCAAATGAGAAAGAAGATTACAACTACGAGGTATAATAATAACACGAAACAACCGTCTCAGAGTACTTCACAGACGGATAAAAAACATGTAATGAAAACAAGATGCTACAATTGTGGTGAAACAGACCACCAAGCACCGAGATGTACGAAGGGCATTAAGTGTTTTAAATGCAACAATTACGGGCATAAATCAAACGAGTGCCCAACCAACCAAAAGAAGACTCTAAAAATTCAAACAAATGATACCGAACATTGCAAGTCACCTTATAAGAAGTTGACGATAAATGGGGTTGAATCCAAAATCCTAATTGATACAGGAAGCGATGTGAGTTTGGTCAAAGAATGCCAGTTCAACAAGGTTAATGGAAAGAGGTACAACTATAATCCGCATGCTGTATCCTAACAGGAATAGCCGAGCACGAAATACGTACTAAAGGCTCTTTTATGGCGAAAATTAAGATGGATGATTGTTATTTTGACACTACCTTCCATATAGTTAATGATAATGACATACCAGTAGATATCATTATTGGAAATCGGATATTGGAGGAAGTCGACGTTCACTTTTCTGCTGATGGGATAACAGCTAAGAGGGTTTTGCACTTAACAACTTTAGAAGATGACGATGAAACCTATAATATTGGTAAACTAGAATTTAAGAGTATTTTTTTTGTTTTAGGGACTAATCCCACCCACACGCCCACCACTGTAACTCCTGTACACCAGGATCCACAGCAGTGACCCACGAACACACCGAGTTATGACACTCGGGAAGTCCCAGGAAGAAATTAAACTGTCTTGGAACTCGCAACGAAATTAATCAGAAGAAAATTGGAGGAGTTGGAAATACAGTAAATCCACTTCCCTCCTTAGCAAAGCGGGAGACAAAATGAAGTAAAATGGGCATACACCCTTTTAAACAGGGAAGCACCACGGCCACAAATATTACGGGTCCTACGTGAGCTATGTTTGATTTCTATAATATGTATGGCAGAATCGCCTAAACGCACGGAAATTCACCCTAGTTGACACAAGATCCCCATAGTATACCGCCCCAGATGTCACCTGCAAGCTATTCAGCATTATATTACGTTCATTATACCAAAGACTACATTCCCAGAGGATATGATGAGCAGACTGTTCATAGTGAGAGTTAGGTGTTGAGCATTGACACAACGGTGACTCGACTAATTTAAATGAATAAAGCTTGCTCTTAAAGTTACCATGACCCGTAAGAAATTGAGCGACACAGTGATCCACCTCAAGCCATATCCTCGACAACCGTTCGCGAACAGACGGAAAGAATTGGTAAAGATGGCGCCCCTTGGATGATTCATCCCCGGGCTGCTGTTGAAGCAATCTTGTAATTTTACCGCGATCCCGCGCGCCCAAAAAGTCGCATTCCATGTTTTGTTGTCTTGAATAGTACATGGCTGCACGTCTCTGCACCTCGAGATCGACCGGAAGCACACCCGCCAACACCGGCAAAGCCTCAGTGCTAACCGTCCTATATGCCTTACACAAGAATATCAGTGCAAGTCGTTGGCCTTGTAACAGTTTGCGACGGACAGCGCCTACGGTCGCCCTATCGGCCCATACAGGTGCACCATAGCACATAGAACCTAAATAAGTAGCTCCGTATATGATCTTTAATGTATTAAATGATAGACCCCATGTCGCAGTTGATATCCTTGTCAATGCACAGAAACTCTTTTTAGACTTTTCATTAACTATTTTAATATGTTCGATAAATGAAAAGTTTCTTTCTAAAACTAATCCTAGATAACACACTATAGTTTTATTTTTTACAGTAACATTGTCAAATCTAATGCTCGGTGGTGATTTGAGGTTACCTTTTAAAAGTAGCTGGAAGGTTTTGTTGGGTGCAAAAGTTAAGCGATTACGTTCACCCCATTGAGATATCAAGTTCAAACATCTATTGGCTAATCTCTCAAGCCCCGCCCTAGTATCAGATTCCACCAGTAATAAGCCGTCATCAGCATACGCGTTCAGAGTACATCCGGATGGTATTGGTATCGCAAGAAAATCGTCGAAGCCGATATTCCACAAGTATGGACCTAGCACTGATCCCTGAGGACATCCCATTGTAAGCGCCTTCGACACAGAATGATGACCAAGTCTTAGTTTAGTTGTACCTTGTGAAAAGTACGAAGAGATAAGGGAATAAATATTTTTAAAGCACCCCCGTGACTTTAATTTCAGCAACAGCATGGGCCACCATGCGTTGTCGAAGGCGCCAGATATATCTAAGAAAATAGCCAGCACGTATTGAAATTTTGACTCTGTGACAAACTTTCTAACCGATATAACAGCGTCAGTTGAAGATTTCCCCAACGTAAATTGTCTATCATGAAATTTGACTCCACCTGGCAGAAGCCGGGGCACTACAAGACGTTCTAAAAGCTTTCCTAACGATGGTAACAATGTGATTGGTCGGTAGGATTTAGGATCATCCGGTGGCTTGTCGCCACTTTTTGGTATTATACGAATATTACCGCACCGCCATATACGAGGAAATATTCCTTCAGCAATGCAACGTTTAAAGACAGTGAAAATCGTGTCACCCGAAAGTTTACAAGCTTCTTTTATCATTTTGTTAGATATTTTATCATCGCCCGAAGCCTTGTTTAGCGGCAAGGATCTAATGATACCGAGAAATTCGTCTGAAGATGGTAAATCAGACATTGGAGACAGTGGTGGTTCGATGGCCCACTGCCTGATCTGTCGGTGATGATCAGTGTCGTTTTTCGGCCGATCGTCAGGTACGAGTGAGTCTAAAAGATATGCTGCTGTTTGTTCTACTCCTGTGGTATATCTGTTATCAATTTTGATGTTCTGTATGTATGCAAGGTCGATTGATCTATTTGCCTTAAATTCGTGATACAAAGGTGACCACGGGCCCTCTCTATCGAGTTTATCAACAAGTTTCTGAATTAAGTTTCCCTTGGATTTTTCCACAGCAGCTCTGTAGTGGGACCTGGCAACTCTAAGGGCAATGAGAGCATTGTTGTACAAATCTCCTGTTACGTTATGTTTTTTAATATTGTTTAATTTTCTACGAGCTTTCCGGTAGCTTCTACGTAGTTCGGCTAATCTATCATTCCACCAATCACATCTACGAGTGTTAGTGATAGATCCGCGACCAATAGTTACATCAGCGCAGTATGTAAAAGTTTCTGATAGTATTTCTGCGCTTTCCTCAGCTGATAAACTACTGCGACTGAAGTCTTTGGTATGAGTTGCAAAGAGTGAACCAAACAAAGCCCAGTTCGCACCTTTAGTTTTATATCTAAAATTATAGGGAGCCCTTTGTGGATCCTGTGCAACCCTTGGTATGAATTCGTACACGATCAAGCGGTGATCACTACAGGAT